GACAAGCAGACACACAAGCAGACAATACAATGTTCCTACTACTTTCCTACAAGGATTTCTATTTCCTTTCTTTTTTTGTTTTGTTTTTATAGGTTTAATAACCAAATTTTTATTGAAGATTTAAAATGATAATAGGAAGAGCTCAACAGCTTAAGGTTTAAGGGTAAACCATTCCACAAGACAGCTGCAGATAGAAAAGAGTACTTTCGCACACAGCTCTTCAAGCGGCAGGGCCTGTAATCTGTGGAACTCCCCCTGGTACAGTAGTTGTGCGTATCACACATTTTTTTAAAGTAATCCCATAAATACTTAGGTGCCAGATTATTTCTTATCTTATAAACCAAACACAGTTTAAGTTGAGAAACCCTCTCCCCACTCTGAGCCGCCCAAGACTGGAGAAATAGTCAGGAAGAAGATGAGTTCTAGGATGTAATTTAAGGATCACTCTGATTAGTTTATTTTGACAAATCTGTAACTTGTCTTTAAGGCCTTTAGTAAAGCCTGTGTACCAAGATGTACAGGCATAGTCAAGATGAAATTGAACAAGCGCATCGGCCAGGATTTTTAAGGTTTTACTATCTAAGAGGCTAGATATTCTTGCCAGAAACTTAGTCCTTTGGCTTACCTTTGAGAGAATTTTTCGGGCCATAAGCTCCCCTGATAGTTTGTTATCTAGTATACAGCCCAAGTAAGTAACTGCTTCCTTGGCTGTAATTTCAACATTACCTACGTCTACCCTAAACCCCATAGCCTTTTTTAGTTATCTCTGGACCCAAAAATAATTGACTCTGTTTTGCCAAGGTGGAGAGACAACTTGTTGTCTGTTAGCCAAACACTGAGGTTAAGGAGTTCTGAACTAAGCAGCCTTTCCACCTCTGATTTGTCTTTATGAGAGAATAGCTGAGTCATCTGCAAATAAAAACAAATTACAGTCTATAGCTGACGACATATCATTGACATATAATAAAAAAAAGGGAGGACCCAAAATACTCCCCTGGGGAACTCCACAAGTTAATTTAAGTGGTGAGGACAAGGTCCCTTCTACATCTACCACCTGTTCTCTGCCCACCAGGTATGACCCTAAACATTGAAGAGATGCAGGAGAAAATACTAGGGCTTTTAGTTTGTTCAAAAGGACATCATACTGAACCGTTTCAAAGGCCTTTTGAAGGTCTATTAACACCATGCCACAAAAATTCCCCTTTTCTACCTCTTTCCTAATAAAGTCTGTAAGATAAAACAGACAGGTATCAGTGGAATGGGCTTTTCTAAAGCCTGATTGAAAGTCAAATAAAATGCTATGTTCTGCTAAAAAACTGTCTATTTGCTCATAAATGATCCTTTCCACAAGTTTTGATATTGAACACAAGATAGATACAGGGTGGAAATTTCCAGGATCAGATTTGGGCCCCTTTTTATATAAAGGTATCACTCTTGCCACCTTAAATTTACTAGGAAAATTGTTATTTTCAATGGATAAATTAATAAGATAAGTTATGACAGGAGTGATTATTTCAGCAGCATCCTTAAGAAATCTGGCAGGGGTGTTGTCAAAACCAGTAGCCTTGGAAGGATTTAGGCCATTGAGTTTTTTTTAGTACCAGCTCCTCTGTTACTTGTTTGAAATAAAAAGTATTTGGCTGGACTCCATTTTCTTCATAAAACTTATGCACCCTCTGTGGATCACTAAAAACACCTGACGCAGATGGAAGCTTCTGCACCAGATTACTAGGGCTGTAGTCAACCAAAGAAATCCTTAGTCAACCAAAGTCTTGTCCTGCGCAACGATTAGTCAAAAAAAAAAAAAAGACGATGTTTTGATTGAACATTTTTTAACAATTGTCATAGAGCATTTATAAAACAACAACGAAAAAACATCAAAAATACATCCAACTATAATAATAATACAAATCTTTGAAAATTAAGTGATTTTTTTTACCTGCAAAAAGTGAGGAGCACTGTCCTAGGTCTATAGTAACAGTCACAATCGCGCACCTGACCACACCACACGCTACAAAAAATATAACTGCTATCTGCCAAAATGATCAAAATCCTAACCTAGCTCTCGTTTATACAGGCTGTATATTCTTCTTTACTTTCAAAGCTATGGGTTAACTTTTGTCCAGCCGATCTAGGCGTTTTAAAACAAACACAAAAAAACCCCCCAAAGAGCCTTAAAAACAATCCTAATAATAATAGGCTGTATTGTAGGACCGCATATAGGTTTATTTTCGATTTGTTACATTATTTAGGCTATTTTCAAATGCGTCAAGTGTACAAATAAAAGCAAAAACATATCAAGAAAACACAATCTATTGAGTCAGCATGATAAACCCGTTAAAGGGACTGCTCACGTCTTTTGCGCGCTGAAGTTCGATTTCAAATGTAGGCGCGCGGTGTGCGCGCTCATGATGGAAGCAACGCGGTCGCGGTGCGACGCGCTCTTTTTTTTCCCAAGTGCGTCCACGCCGCATCGAGATAAAAACATTATAGTGTATAAAAACATAAAAACCGAAACAGTAGCGTTCTAACTGAATGAATACAGCTAAACTACCTATATCCCTCACTGAGCACGAAGCAGCAGCGCAGCCACAGGTGCGAACCGACTGTTCTGTGTGTGTGCGCTAAACTGTGGCGCTGTTACAAAATAGCCTAAATTAAAGCATTTAAAGTTGGGGATAAACCATAGGCTAATTATATTTAGAATACAGTAATATATAACTGCTTATAAAGGAATAAATATCAAGGAGTAAATCATTGAAAATTTCTTTCTATTGGTAAAAAAATATATAAAAAAAATGCAACTGTTTGACCAATAAGAATGTCAGTCGACCAAGACGGCATCGACCGATTAGTCGACTAAACGACTAAAGTTGACAGCCCTACAGATTACTTGCAATTGTTGTGAAGAAACCATTAAAAGTATCTGCCACCACTTTTTTATCATACAATATGGACCCATTAATATCTAGGCCTATTTTACCTTGTTTTTGCTTTGGGTTCTCTTTTGTTCCCAAAGGCCTAAGAGTTGCCCACAATTTCTTGGGATCCTTTTTATGCTCCTCAATTTTAGACATAAAAAAATAATTTTTCGCCTCATCCACCATTCGCTGAACCTTATTTCTAAGTACTTTATATTCTTTAAAAAGAACAGGCAGTTTGGTTCTTTTAAACTCACTTAAGATTTTATCCCTTAAGTAAATGGTGTCCAAAATATCATTATTTATCCAAGGCTGTGATCTTTGTTTAATCCTGTTCTCTTTTAATGGGGCTATCTTGTCAAGTATTTTCAAGAAAATAGATTGAAAGCAATCCCATGCTGAATCAACAGATACAATAGGTTAAAAATGGTCACTAATTCCATACATAATGACCCCACTTTGTAGGATTTTACTTGTGTCAGATACAATGATGTGGTCAATAGCAGTTTGGCTATGCCCAGTTATTCTGGTTGGAAGACTAATTAATTGGGTTAGACCATGCATTTTCAGAAAATCACAAACGCCATTGTATAATGGACCTTCTGTATTCAAAACATCAATATTATTATCTGCCATTAAGATGACTTCCTGGTTTAAAAAATCATGACAGCCTGCACTAACACATTCCAAGGTTTGGATGAAGTCATTTTGATTTGGAGGTCTATAAACAACAAAAACTTTTTGGAAGTAAAATATCAATCCACACAGCTTCAAGATTTAGATTGTCCAGGTCCTGTCTTAGATTGAAATCAATGTCAGACCTCACAAATAAGCAAACCCCACCCCCTTGTCTGTTCCGGTCTTTGCGAACGATAACAAAATTTTCAATTTCAACTTCGGAGTCAGTAATATGAGAATCTAACCATGTTTCTGAAAAACATAGTATACTTGCCTTGATTTTCCTGGCCAGCTCACGTACCTCCGTGATCTTTGGCAGTAAGCTGCGAATGTTTAAATGAAAACAATGCAAGCCCTTCAATGCAAAAACGGATATTTGTTCCTCAGTGAAGACCAAGTTGTTACTTCTTCCGGTAATGGCCTTCGGCAGCGATTTTGTAACCGATACTACTGGTGTCTCCAGAGAATCACAGTGCGTGTCCGCCTCCTCACCTCCCCCGGGTAGCAGTCCCGTCAGTGTTGCATGTCCTCCAGGCGCCAGAGATTCCGTTGACCGCAGCCGTCCCGTCCTTGTCCCCTCCAGCGCCTGATGTCTACTGGCGTTGGGTATTGGAGCCTCAGTAGCACACTGCAGCCTCATGCTCGTCCGCCTCGGCACCCGGTATCCGCTGGCTCTTGAGTTTACAGCCGCGTTCGCACCAGGCATCTCCCGCTGCGTCTGCTGCAGCTGACAGTGTCCACTAGCCGCATCGCAAACCACATTGGACGGTGCAACATCGAGTAGACCTAAAGACAGCCTGTTCACCAGATTTACGTTCTCGACCGTAGCAAGTTGTAGGTGGCTGATCGCTTCCTCTGTTTGTGCCTTTGTTGGAAGGTTTCCTCTGAGTGCAGTCTCTGGACCAGGGCATTGGTGTATATCGCCAGATAGCAATAAGTAGAGCAAGATTATTAAACGGTTGTTATTTTGGCGTTTGCTCACGGCCCAGGTTTTACGTTTTTGCCCAGTGTGTGGAGACTTAGCCCAAACGCAAGTATGAATTACACCCCTTCTAAAGCCGAAATGTTTGTAACCTATGCCCGTTGTTTTTGAACTTATACTTATTTCAACTCCTTGGCATTGGGAGGAAATATTTTTCCTATTTAGATTAACTTCAATGCTATCAGTTGGATTTACACAAATGCTTGATAATAAAGCAAACAGTAAGAGAGCTGCAAGCACACCTGTCTCACCCACCACCATTTTTTTAAGATTGGATTGGATCTGAATATTCAAAAAATTTATATTTATCCAGTTTCATCTGGTTGAAGGTTTCCTTGTTTGACTTTTGATGAAGGATTGGTTCATTCTGTAAAGTTACACAAACACATGTGTGTGTGTGATGATCACTGTGGGTTTGTGTCTGTTGATTCTGTTGACTGTGATTGTGTCTGTAGTGGATCTGTATTCACCATCAGCTGATCCAGAGAAGGTCAGACTAACATCTAGAACCTGTAAGTAAAACACAGACAGTCAAATGCGTGCGACATTGTTGCATTATCAACTTTAGAACAACTAAAAGAAACTACTTAGATGATTAAGTGAGAGATTATAATATAATAGTGAGATACATGATTGTTAAAGGGTTAGTTCACCCAAAAATGAAAATTCTGTCAGTAATTGCTCACCCTCACCCTCATGTTGTTCCAACCCCGTAAGACCTTCGTTCATCTTCGGAACACGAATTAAGATATTTTTGATGAAATCTGAGAGCTGGATCACTCCTCCATACTAGTCCATAGGCTTCTTCAGGGATTGAAGTTGCCGGCCTCGAAAAGTTATTAAAGACATCGTTAAAATAGTCCAAGTGACTACAGTGGCTCAATCTTAAGTTTATCAAGCGACGAGAATACTTTTTGTGCGCGAAAAAAACAAAAATAACGACTATTTCAACTATTCATTTCCTTCTCTGTGGGCCTCGAGTCAGTTCACTAGTGTAATAGCGTAAGCTTCTGTTGTTGTACGTCACACGCATCACGCACATGACTAGCGTCGCCCAATAGTGAGCCTACGTGTGACGTAGCTCTACGGAATCACACTACGTTAACTGACTAGAGGCCCAAAGAGAAGGAAATGAATAGTTGAAATAAAGTTGTTATTTTTGTTTGTTTTTGCGCTCAAAAAGTATTCTCGTCGCTTGATAAACTTAAGATTGAGGCACTGTAGTCACTTGGACTATTTTAACGATGACTTTAATAACTTTTCGAGGCCGGCAAGTTCAATCCCTGAAGAAGCCTATGGACTAGTATGGAGGAGTGATCCAGCTCTCAGATTTCATCAAAAATATCTTAATTCGTGTTCCGAAGATGAACAAAGGTCTTACGGGGTTGGAACAACATGAGGGAGAGTAATTACTGACAGAATTTTCATTTTTGGGTGAACTAACCCTTTAAATCGTATCTATAACCCTGTATGACTGTCCTCTTTCTGGGTCAGTTTTATTTATGATAAAGAAACTAGTGATAAATATTCAGCATTATCTTTTATTGCAATTGACATTGACAACGATAAAAGCAAAATATTGAATTGTTTGAAATAAAAAGAAACTTGAAGATATTTAATTGTTGCTATGAACTATTATAAAAAATAAATGAATCAAACTCTTATTAAACATGTTTATACTATGTAATTCACCATCACAAGGAAAGTAAACTAAGAAGAAACAAAACTAAGTTTCAATTAAAATATGAACAGTTTTAATCATCACTACTCACAGAAGCGTCTCCAGTTTATAATGTGGATCCTTCCTCAGATCAGAGAGCGGCTTCACATCTGAGTCTCTTAGTTTATTTCCAGACAGACTCAGTTCTCTCAGGTGTGAGAGGTTTGATCTCAGAGCTGAAGTCAGAGCAGCACAACCTTCATCTGTAACACTACAATCCCACAACCTGTAGAGAACAATGACACTCTTCAGTCTCTCAGTTCAGGATCTACAGCTCAGATAAGCAGAACTTCACAATCAGACACTTAATCCATGGCACCATTAACAGGTCCAGTCTAAGGTTCAATTAATAAAACCAAATTAATAAAACCAAATTAATAAAACGTCTCGGTTACTAATGTAATCCTAGTTCCCTGAAGGAGGAACTAGACACTATCATCTTCGAGGGTATACAGAATGAGCCAATGACAGTTGGCGTGCGTGAATCACTATAAACAGGAAGCGGGCGCACGCACACATTGTTTTTCGCTGAGGAGCCGAGATTGTGACGGTCATTACAGCAATGGTCAACAACGGGACGTTACGTCTCCCGTTCCCTCCTTCAGGGAACGAGGGTTACATTAGTAACCGAGACGTTTCCTTTTTAGTCGCGCACGTTCAACGTAACGTCGACGTGATGACGTAATTGGGATCCCTTGGAAAACGCCACGGTTGCTGCCACATCCAGCACCCAACGCAAGACTCTCAGACCCCCAACTGGCTGGGGCGGAAGACCTGCGTAGAGGGAGTTCAACTGCTGTTCCGTTATAACCCACACAGAGGAACTCGGGGGAGAGGGACACTGCGAAGCCACATCCTGCCCAAAGGTAGGTAACATGTGGAGAATACACTAAGTCCCCTATCCAGTGGGCCATCCTCTGCTTGGAGACAGCCTTCCCCTTTTGCTGGCCTCCGTAACAGACGAAGAGCTGATCTGAGGTCCTGAGGCTTTGCGTTCTGTCCACGTATAGGCGCAGAGCACGAACATGACAGAGAAAAGCCAGGGCTGGGTCTGTTTCCTCTGAAAGCAGCGCTTGCAGGTTCACCACCTGGTCCCTGAAGGAAGTGGTGGGAACCTTGGGCACGTATCCTTTCAATCAAGCTTTAGAAAAGCCCATTCCACTGATACCTGTCTGCTTTATCTTACAGACTTTATTAGGAAAGAGGTAGAAAAGGGGAATTTTTGTGGCATGGTGTTAATAGACCTTCAAAAGGCCTTTGATACGGTTCAGTATGATGTCCTTTTGAACAAACTAAAAGCCCTAGGATTTTCTCCTGCATCTCTTCAACGTGAGAGTTAGCCGGGACGAATTCTAGGCATGATGCGTCGACCGAAAATACATGCAGATCCCCTACCCTCTTGATGGAGGCCAATGCAACCAGGAGTACTGTTTTACAGGACAGAATTTTTAACTCAGCTGACTGCAAAGGCTCAAAGGGTGGTCTCTGAAGTGTCGAAAGGACCAGAGACAAATCCCAAGAGGGTATAGAGAGCGGGCGAGGAGGATTTAGTCTCCTCGCCCCCCTCAGGAACCTGGCGATCAGGTCGTGCTTTCCCAGCGACTTTTCCCACCTTCAACTGCATTGTGATGTGCGGCAATGGCGGCAACATACACTTTAAAGGTGCGTTCACACCGGACGTGAATAGCGCGTCAGGCGGGAGTGATTTCAATGTTAAGTCAATGCAAAGACGCGTAATGCGCGGAAAAAAATTATGCGGCGCGAATGAGGCATAGAGCACGGCACGGTAGGCGCGAATACGCCTCATTTGTGCGTCAAGTTCGCGCGAATGGCGCGAATTGAGCGTCTGGCGCGTTAAGCGCGAATGATTTAGTTAGTGCTATTTGTGCATTCACGCGTTTGAAGCGAATTCGCGTCTGCCGCCCGAGTTGAAAAATCGGAACTTCTGCGTCAATTAGAGCCGCGTTAACCAATCAGGAGCCTGCTTGCTGCTGTCAGGTAGTGAAGTGACAGTTTATAATGTTCTTTTATGTTTGGCCTCAATACATTATTTTGTAATATGACTAAAATGCCTGGTATGATGCACAACAAAGCAAATCTTTCACATAAAAACTCGATTTTAATATATGAGAGATAGTACTCATTTTGTATTGAATGCTATTTATTCCATATCTATTCTATATCAGATGAAACATTATTATTTTAATGTAAACACAACAAACACTTAGTGTAACGAATAAAAAAAATCACAGGACAGGTTTCACTTTTGGAGGCTGGCTCCATTTATTATCAAAACAAAACTAAATGACAGATTAGGTGGGTGCGGGCGAGGCTGAACCTCGTGCCGGGCTGTAGAGCACGGACTCGTCAGGCAGCGACCACTCGAGGCCGAGGCTTTACACGGCCTACGCTGTCCTCGTCAGCGTCCTCACCGTTAGGTCCACCAAACCTAGCTCCTAGAGCAAATGGTGAATCTTCTGAAACACTCCGGAGGGTCTGGTGGATCCGAGTACAGCGATGATGTCCCGTACGCAGCTGTTTCTGCTCTCCAGAGCAAATACGAGCAGTGACTCTCTCGATTAATGCTAATGCTAATGCTCGACAAACATCTAAAAAAGATGTCCGCCTCCGTATTTCGCATCTGACTTTGTGTTAATTTGCGCGTCAAGAGTGAAACTGACACGTAAAAACAAAAGTTTGAAGTGTCAGTTTCACTCTTGACGCGCGAATTAACACAAAGTGGTCAAGCGTCAAACTAGATGTGGTAGACGTGAATTTGACGCACTGTTCGCGTCCGGTGTGAACGCACAGTAAGGGTGGAGGGAGACAGCCTTCCCTCCAACCCATTATAGAGGCGCTTCGTAGAGGGGGCTCTAGCAGAAGTGATGGTGTCAACTACCGCTTGGGGTAGGTCACCTAGAACATCCGCATCCCGTCCAGGGACCAGACATGGAGTTTCCAGAGGTCTGGACACGGGTGCCAACTGCATCGCATAGCCGAGTCTGATAGTATGGATGAGCCAACGAGACGGGCTGGGAAGCGCTAGCCAGGCTCCCAGACAACGTGCAAGCGGGACCAACAGCACCACAGACGTACCCGGGGTGGGGCAGCGCAGCGGAACGCAGGGACCCGACTCTGACGGCATAGCAGCCCGGCGTGGGGTCTGAGTGTGTGGTGCAACACGTACCTGCTTCCGTCGGAGGGCAGAGTGAGTGTGTGGAGGCGTCAATGCGTCCGGGACACAGCCACTGCTGCTCGTTGGCGATGAAAGAGGGGCTTGAGAGTGACAAGGCATAGCGTTGTCGACCGCCAAGCGCGCCCTCTTGGGACCCAGAGGTTTCAGAAATTGCTCTTTTATTGAAATTGTGGGTACAACTGGAACAAAAAGAAAAGGAAACAAAAGATTTTCCACCCGGCCCTCCACCAGGGGAAGGAGCGGTGCGTTTACCATCTTCTGAAGAGCAACTTGATCCACCTCTGGGTCGCCCGTCTCAGGGATATTTGCACCTCCACTTGCCTCCTGGTTTGGCAACGGCCTGGACGGGCGTGGTCGACTTCCAGCGGCTTGCTCCACGCTGAGGCCTAGAAGATGGCTGCTGCTGAGGCTTCGTGGGAGCGGAGAACGCAGCAGGAGGCCGACCTCGGCAACGAGCAGGCGGAGGGTCTGCAGCCGGCGGACGGGTGGGAGCAGCAGCAGTCTGCCGGGGCTGTATGTGCCGGATGCCCTCTGTCTGCTTCTGGGGCGGCAGAGAACTGCTGGGCAAAGCTCTCGCGCTGAGAAACCAATCGTTCAGCCGGGAAGGTTCGGGACGTGGTCGAGGGTTCCACACAAGCCCGACCTTCTCGGCGGCCCAGGAAAGCATAGCCGCCCATTCTGGATCAGACTCGGGCAACGCTACACTCCCTGTAGGGGGTAACGCAGCCGAATCCTCATCTCCAAGGGACTGAAGCTCCCCCTCCGATGCTGCGTTTGACATCTGGTCGTCAGGCGGAGCTCCAAAGGACACAGCTGGTCGTCCAAGCGAAGGACCAGCTCGCTCCTTTGGAGGCTCCAACGAGGGCAGCGCTTGTGAGACGTGTGGGGCCTGCGGAGATTGCCTCGGTGGGGAAGCCCTCATGGTAATCCTCAGATCACCCTGGTCATGCACAGAAGTAGGTCTATTCTGAGGTCCCGAATAGACGCTAGATCGGGGCATAGGCGAGGGGACTGCACCTCCCGTGAGGTAAGCAAGTCTCGATCATAGCGCTGCCATAGTCATATTCCCGCAATGGGAACATGAGCTATTCACAAAAGCTGTCTCAGCGTGCTGAATGCCCAAACACGAGAGGTAAGTATTGTGGTCATCTGCTGGCGCCAGGGAACGACCGCATCCAGAAACACACAAGCGGAATGACATCCTGAAAAGGATGCAGGGTCACGCTTGTGTTGCTCTTTTAGTTAGAAAAAATTAAAAAAGAGAAAATAAACTCTTTCCGCGCTGAGGCACCCAGGGATAGCCACGATGTAGTGTATACACACTCAGGAAACATGCGCCCACCGAAACCGACACACACACACACACACACACACACAGAGTGTAATGATCGCGGCCACCGCTTATCACGCCATCACACCAACACGGGAAACAGAGTCTTCTTTTCTCTCAATTCCAAGAGAAGAGTCTCTTGCAGCTCTTGCTCTTGAAGTCGAATAATCTCTCGGCTCCGAAGTGAAAGACAATGTGTGAGTGCGCCCGCTTCCTGTTTATAGCCGCGCTGCGGGGCGGGGGGCTCGTAACGCAATTCACGCACACCAACTGTCATTGGCTCGTTCTGTAGACACTCGAAGATGATAGAGCTCCCTGAAGTGATCCCAGTTACGTCGTCATGTCGACATTACGTCGAACGTGAGCGACTGAAAGGGAACCAAATATTCATTTTTTTAGGCAAGTACCCAAAAATCATCAACATATGAATCTGTATATAAACAAGCAGTCACATCTTTACATCATCTAGTCATGTTTAATCTATCATTAATATTGTAAAATGATGGCAGACACATTGGAAAGAATCTAATGAAAATAAAAGCAACCATTAGTAATTTCACACTATTTTTTATTTTTTATTTTTTTATGGCAATCATTATTTACCATTAAAAAAGAGGACTATGTTGGAACATTTTATATAATCTTACCTCAGTATATCCAGTTTAAAGTGAGGATCCTGCAGTAGATCAGAAAGCTGCTTGACTCCAGAATCTCCTACTTTGTTCTCAGACAGACTCAGATCTCTCAGGTGTGAGGGGTTTGATCTCAGAGCTGAAGTCAGAGCAGCACAACCTTCATCTGTAACACCACAATCACTCAACCTGTAGAGAACAATGACACTCTTCAGTCTCTCAGTTCAGGATCTACAGCTCAGATAAGAAGAACTTCACAATCACTATTAACAGGTCCAGTCTAAGGTTCAGACCCGCTTCTACAAACTGCTTGAGCGGCTTAGTTTCCATTTGATAAAAATTGCAAGAATATCCAATAACACTTTATTTAACAGTGTCCTTGTTACATATGTTACATGAACTTACCATAGTATTAACAGTAAATTATGCATAATTACATGCAACTAACCATCAACCAAATCATAATCCTACCCATACCCTATAGTAAGTACATGTAGTTACTTAATATTACTCAGTTCTTAAATATATAATTAAACTGTAACAATGACACCTTAAAATAAAGTGTAACCGAATATTCATGTTTCTATGAAAGTACCCAAAAATCATCAACATATCTGTATATCTTTACATCATCCAGTCATGTTAAATATATCATTAATATTGTAAAATGATGTCAGACACATTGAAAAGAATCTAAGGAAATTAAAAACAACATTACTATTAGTAATTTCACAGTAGATTAAGGCAATCATTACTTACCATTAAAATAGAGGACTATGTTTGGACATTTTATTCAATCTTACCACAGTATCTCCAGTTTGCAGTGAGGATCCTGCAGTAGATAAGAAAGCTCCTTGACTCCAGAATCTCCTACTTTATTCCATGAAAGATCCAGTTTTCTCAGGTGTGAGGGGTTTGATCTCAGAGCTGAAGTCAGAGCAGCACAACCTTCATCTGTAACACCACAATTATACAACCTGTAGAGAACAGAGAATCTCTTCAGTCTCTCAGTTCAGCAAACACTGATATAAATGAAAAGATATATATGAATTTCTCCTTTCGCCTCAAAAGATTTGTATATAAAAGCAGTTGTCACCTCTTCACATCATCCAATCATGCTTATAACTATTGTTGTGGAAAATATGCAATTGTCCTGTTATAAGTATGCCTTTTTGTAAACTAGTTAACCTGTAATTAATAAATCTATATTTAATTGAAACTAAGAAGCACGCCTGCCAAAAGTCTATGAGTTCTAAAAAACTTAACTGAAAAGACCACGAAGACTTCTGACCTATAGATTGTGAGTATGAAAATTCAGATGCTTATGCTTTAGGACAGATTTGACGTACTTTACCTAACCTGAGAATAATCAAAAAAGGTTAAAGGTCTCTACAAATACGCACCATAAAACACTATCAAAAGTAAAATTACCCCAGAAGCTTGGAAATAATCTAATGAAGATTATACATCCTTTTCAGTTACTTGATGGTAAACATTTTTTGTATATTATTTTAAATATATTATTTTTGCATATCATTCATTATTCACCATAGAAGAAAAACAGACAACGTTGAGAGTTGAGATAAAATCTTACCGCAGTATCTCCAGTTTACAGCGATGATCCTGCAGTAGATCAGAAAGCTGCTTGATTCCAGAATCTCCTACTTTATTCAATGACAGACTCAGTTCTCTCAGGTGTGAGGGGTTTGATCTCAGAGCTGAAGTCAGAGCAGCACAACCTTCATCTGTAACACCACAGTTACTCAACCTGTAGAGAACAATGACACTCTTCAGTCGCTCAGTTCAGGACTGATATAAATAAGATATAGGTAACACTTTACAATAACAGTCCATGAATAATCATGTAATAATACCTGAATTACTAGTTACTTCAACATGAACTCATGATTAGCGAAGACATGAACTAATCATGAACCAATGAAGAGCTATCCTTAAAGGATTAGTTCACCTGAAAAATGAAAATTTCCTGATAATTTACTCACCCCAATGCCATCCAAGATGTTCATGTCTTTCTTTCTTCAGTGGAAAATAAAGTAAGTTTGAGGAAAACATTTCAGGATTTTTCTCGACACAATGGACTTCAAGCGCAACCAACATGTTGAAGTCCAAATCAATGCAGTTTCAAAAGGCTTTGAAGTGCTTCAAAGGGCTAGCGAAACGATCGTTCATTTTCTAAAAAAAGGAAACATTTATATACTTTTTATCCACAATTGTTCGTCTTGTGCTAGTCTGCGACGCGCCAGGCATTACGTCATCACGTTGGAAACGTCAAGCGTCACGTCATCGAAGTTATTTGTCTGTGTATTCCGGTTCAAAAAGGCAGGGAAGGGTCGAAAAATTCCATCTCATTTTCTCCTCCAACTTCAAAATCATCCGATATCTTTGTTTTAATTTATTATTAAATTATCTTTTGTGACGTTTCCAACGTGATGACATAATGCCTGGCGCGAGACAGCACAAGACGAACAATTGTGGTTATAAAAAGTATTAAAACATTTTTTTTTAGAAAATGACTGATGGTTTCGCTAGATAAGCCCCTATTCCTCAGCTGGGAACGTGCACAGCCCTTTGAAGCACTTCAAAGCCCTTTGAAACTGCATTGATTTGGACTTCAACATGTTGGTAGCAATTGAAGTCCATTGTGTGGAGAAAAATCCTGAAATGTTTTCCTCAAAAAAAAAAAATTATTTTCCACTGAAGAAAGAAAGACATGAACATCTTGGATGGCATTGGGGTGAGTAAATTATCAGGACATTTTCATTTTGAGGTGAACTAATCCTTTAAAGCTAAAATATGTCATTTTTTGCGGGTCGAAATTTAACCTCTTACAATAACAAAGGTGTGGGTTGATCACATAAGCGGAATTATGGAACTTGTCGTCATGCAGGATCTAATAATGTTTATGGATGAGTGAATACATTTATGTTTTTAACATGACTGGTATGAAGCAGGGCGCGATTGCTAACGAGAGACAGATATCAGTGCGACACACGAATCCCGCAAATATATATAAAGGAATAAGGACATTTCATTCTACCGAACTAATGTACCCGCAAGTGCTAAATTACTACTCGCGCAGGTCTGTTTATTAGACAAATTAAACTTGTGAGATAACAGCAGTGCTGTGTCACACTAAACTGCATTTGTGTGTTGAAAGTTATAATGTTATTCTATGAGTTTGTTTGTCTGTATGAGACTAGCAGTGAGCTAGATCAACATTAGAATAACATATGGCTCAGTACAGCTCACTTTGTTACGCTTTTCCACTGCATGGTATGGTACGGCTCGCTTTAAATGGTACCACCTCTGTTGAGGTTCCAAGCGTACCGTACCGATACTAAAATGTGACGTGAAAACACTGCAGATCACTGATTGTCAGACAGAATCGTCACTACCAGAGTCATTGTATTTGCGACACGAGACACCAAACCCACTAGATTTAAATAGCCAGTAACAGCCACCGCTGTAGCAAATGTTTTTAAACTACTTGCTTGAAGAAAATAAAGAAAAAATGGCTGAATCGTGATCAGTGCACGAAGTGCAGACGTTCCTCTCGTTGGTTGCAGAGGAGCGGATCCTGGATGGGGCAACACGGAATGAAACTATTACGATCAGTCTATAATCCCACCCACTTTGAAGCGGTACTAACTGCAGGGGAAAAGCAAACCGAGCTAAAGCGAGCCGAGCCGAACGATGCCGCGCCTTTACTGATCATATTCTAACATTTCATCATGTTGAGCTATGTAACATTGATTAGTTTTATGTACATTTGTTCATCTGTCTTATAAAGTACATGCAAGAGCGTCGTCTCTGTCAAGTTGAAGTTTGTCACGGACGCTAGCTCTCTGCATCTCGAAAACGCCACGCTGATATTGTTCCTTGTTTTAGTTCTCCTTTTGTCCCAAGGTCTGCTTACCATGGTCCATAATGTTTGAACGAAACCACAACAGCGTGAGCGTGCCGCTAGACGTAACGCAGTTGTCCACGTCTGTCGCCATGGTTACTATGGCAGTACGAGCGGAAACCAGGGATAACGCGGATATTACGACATTGACAGGCGAAGAGATAGTAAAATAAATACAACACCTGGTTGCCACGGAAACACTGATGCACCTTGTGATCTCCGTGGCTCTCGCACTTGTCTTATTAATGACTTTTACATGAAAACGGAGGTGACTGTGCTTCTCACGGTGGTGATTATTATTAGTCTACGCGGACAGTCAAAATGCCGCCACACCTCCGATTTGAATGAGTCAACGTCAACATCTACGCTTGCCGTCCATGTCTACTGTTTGACGGCGCGTGCACACCAGTCTATGGCACACACTGCCGAACGTTTTCAGTTCAGTCCTATGGAAGTTGAGTGCTCACACAAGATCAAGTTCCATGAATGAAGTGAAAACACTCGCTAGCTTCGCGCCAGTGTGTGCTCGCTGCTATTGTGCCTGTAAAGCGAGGTTCACAACTTCACAGTAGGCTATACAGTAAACGCGCCCTGCTGTTTAAAACGTGTAACGCGATTCGTTTAACATTTCAACCGACTTGAATCGTCACACATTTTTATCGATTTTCAACCGGTTGCGAGTGAATCTTTACATCCCTACTTTCTTTAAGTCCATATATGGCCAATTATAAAAATGAAAATAAAGGATCGACAAATAATTATCCAATTTTTATTTTATTTTTACCAAGGGGTTTAAAGGAATATGGATTGCACAGTGTATATGTTTATTCATATTTTAGTAAATGATCATTGTGTCATGAGTTTACTTGAGGGGGGACATCATAATTAATTCACTGGTAACTACTTACCAAATTCAGTTCATGATTTATCATAAATTTACTAATCAAATATACATGTACTAGTACAACTAGTATTCAGCCCAGTTAAGTGATGTTGTGTGGCTTTTCAAGAAGTCAGAGAATCGAGGTACACTTTCATCATGGCTGTGTCTGGATGGAGAGTGAACTGTACTGATCACAGTTTCATCGGAAACACTACAATACAAGTGCACTAATATGCATTAATTCATGCTTAACTTATGCACAGATAATAATGTGTTAATGTATGACTTATGAAGAACTAAACCATTAATTAATGATTACTGCATCAGTACTAATAAAGATTCTAAATGATTCATAGATTAAGTAATATATGAATTGTTATTAATTAAATGTGTCTTGATGTTTTAATTCTTTAATAACATATTTTATTAACTAATATTGGAAATTAATGTGCTAATTACCACAATGGGTTAAAGTCATGTAATTCAACTTTGAATTGTCTGCTTTAATTAATCATTAGCTAATGATTTGCAAATGTACCATTATGTTATAACTTTACTTGTTGAGGCACATGACTATTAACTCATTGTTAAGTAATGTGTCAATATGGCTTTAATTCAGGTATTAGTACATGATTATTCATGTACTGTTATTGTAAAGGGTTACCTAAGATATATATGAATTTCTCATTTTACAGTATTGCTTTGGTACGGAAGCACATGCTAAAATCGTAAATATTATCTGGTTTTATCAGTGTAATGATTGTTGTCAGAGTAACTTACTGAACTGATCTGGATTCTTTAACCACAGGCAGCAGCTTCTGAAGAACTTCATCTGCTCTATTTTGTTCTCCAATAAACTGATTTAGATTAAACACATCCATCTTTTGCTCTGATGTCAGCAACACATAAACCAGAGCTGACCACTGTGAAGAGGAGAGTTTGGTTTCTCCTATTTTTACAGATTTCAGATAATGTTGGATCTCCTGCATCAGTGAACCATCACCCAGTTCATTCAGACAGTGGAACAGATTGATGGATCTCTCTGGAGAGCGAGTCTTCCTGATCTTCTGTTTGATGTACTGAACTGTTTCCTCTTTGTTGTAGGAGCAGCTTCCAGTCTGTGTCAGTAGTTCTCGTAAGAGAGTCTGATTAGACTCCAATGAGAGACCCAGAAGGAAACGCAGGAAAAGGTCCAGATGTCCATTCTTACTCTTGAAAGCCTCATCCACAGCCCTCTGATGCAGCTCAGATAATGAATGATATTTCATCTTGATTAAGGTTTTAGAAAATACAATGTGTTTGGTTTTGTCAAGCACATTTCTGTTCTCAGTTGTAAAGTAAATGTGTGCATATAGAGCTGCTAGATGTTCCTGGATGCTCAGATGAACAAAGCAGAAGACTTTCCCCTGATACAAGCCCAAGTCCTCTCTGAAGATCTGAGTGCACAATCCTGAGTACACTGATGCTTCTGTCACATCAATGCCACACTCTCTCAGGTCTTCCTCATAGAAGATCAGGTTGCCTTTCACAAGCTGCTGGAAAGCCAGTTTCCCCAGTTTGAGAATCATGTCTCCATCTTTCACTTTCTTCTCATAGTCCTTCTCATGTTTGATGTTGGTCTGAATGATCAGGAAGTGTGTGTACATTTGAGTGAGAGTCTTGGGAATCTCTTCTCTCTCTCCTTCACTCAACATCTTCTCTAGAACAGCAGATGAGATCCAGCAGAACACTGGGATGTGGCACATGATGTGGAGGCTCCTCGAGGACTTCAGGTGTGTGATGATTGTATTGGCCAGACTCTGATCACTGATTCTCTTCCTGAAGTATTCCTCCTTCTGTGGCTCATTGAAGCCTCGAACCTCTGTCACTCGATGGACACACTCAGAGGGGACGAGATCCGCTGCTGCTGGTCTGGAGGTGATCCAGATGAGAGACGAGGGAAGCAGATTCCCCACAATAAGGTTCATCAGCAGCTCGTCCACTGAGGCTGATTCAGATATATTACACAGTTTCACTTCGCTCTTAAAGTTCAGAGACAGACGACACTCATCCAGACCATCAAAGATGAACAACACTTTATATTCATCACTGTATATTTCCATTTCTGTTGTTTCAGGGAAAAAGACATGAAGAAGATCTGAAAGACTGAGTGTTTTGTCCTTCATCAAGTTGAGCTCTCTGAAAGCGAGTGGAAATATGAGCTGGACGTCCTGATTCTCTTTCTCTTCAGCCCAGTCCACAATGAACTTCTGCACAGAGACTGTTTTTCCAATGCCAGCGACTCCCTTTGTCAGCACAGTTCTGATGGGTTTGTCTTGTCCAGGTAAAGGTCTAAAGATGTCACTGCATTTGATTGGTGTGTTCTCTGTTGCTGCTCTCCTGGATTGTGTCTCAATCTGTCTCACCTCATGCTCATTATTGATCTCTCCACTTTCACTCTCTGTGATGAAGAGCTCTGTGTAGATCTCATTCAGGAGTGTTGGGTTTCTCCGCTTTGCTGTTCCTTCATACAGACACTGAAACTTCTTCAGCAGATCTGATTTACATGTGCTTTGGAAAATAACAGATTACAACATGAATTAAATACATATACATACAGATTTTTGGTATGTCTTTCTAGACAGAAATGTTGTACCTCAGATCAGTTGATGTGTGTCTTCCTTTAAATGCTATTGGCTCTGTTATAGACTGGTCACTCTTCATGGACACACAGCTGGACTCCGGTGAGATTGATTCATCTCTGTGGATTTAACATTAATAGAGCAGAGACATTAGAATAGAGATAATAGAATAGAAATAAGAATTTCTGGGTCTTTTCGGCAGCAAACAGAAGGCATTTGACTTCAGTGTCCAGTAGAGTAAGGCCAGGTGCTGCAGACTGATCCAGAGCCCTCGCTAGCTCATTTATGTAGATATTGAATAGCGTGGGACTTAAGCTGCAGCCCTGTCTCACTCCACGACTCTGAGGGAGGAATTCTGTGTGTTTCGACACCACAGGCTTTTTGTTATTTCAGGGTTTGTATTTTGTCTAATAGTTTCGGCTAGTGTGAGTCTAAGGGGTTCTGGAAGGCTTTGATGGTTAATTCTAAAACCCTTAGTATATCATACAGGGCATTTTGTTCCTGATTTTTGTTTATATTACTAAAGAGGTTGGAGAAGTGGTTTATCCAAACATCTCCATTCTGGATAGCTAGTTCTTGATGGTAATTTTTGTTTATTGTGTTCCAATGTTTCCAGAAGTGGTTGGATTCTAAGGATTTGACAATTTCCCTGAGTTGACTTTTTGTGTTTTGTTCCCTTTCAAAAGCTACAATCGATGCTGCGCTGCTTAGCGCATTGGGAACGTCTTTAATCGTGACCTGCTGTGAATATAGTGTGTAAACACGTTGATAGAATCGACCCGGAGGTAATATAGCCTCGGTCAGTGACGTCATCAGCGCGCACCCGCGACACGAGGCTATAAATAGATGAGCCACAGGTGCATCGTCAGGTCTTTTTGTCTTCAGAGACCTTTCTGTGTTGGTGTGCAAGCATTTATCTCCTCTCTATCTACTACAGATCTTTGTTAGGAGTTATTTAGTTTATCACTAACAGTGTGCGAAGAGTAATGAGTCAACAGAGTAAGCGCTGTGTCTATGTTCTCTCCCTATGTCAGAACTGGATACACACTTACTGCTTTGTTTGTTTGGGGAGCATGCTGCCCTTGCGTTTGAGCATGGTGATCACGAGCACAGTGGAATATTCACAGTTAAAGTGCTTCGCGTTTGCTTTGCTTATTTCAAAGGGGTAGCACCCGCAATGCGATTGTGGGGCTTGCGTGTCGATCTGGCTGAAGCACGAGAGACGGGTGCGTCCTTTTCGCTCGCTCTCTCTCCAGATCGCGATGTCCTTTTGCCTGATTACCGAAGCGTGCGAGTCGGCGCTTCTTCGGCTCGGGCAGAGGACACTGAATTACGTGAGTTTGTCGCCTCCGAACGTTCCTCCTGTGATGATAAAAGGAGAACTGCTCGGGGCGATCGTTCGTACAGTGGCCAGACTACACTGATCACAAAAAGAGTCCCATGAAACACTCAATATATATATATATATATATATATATATATATGCACACATGACATGTCTTTGTGCCCTCGATGTCGACCAATTCGACTATCGCGGGTGCAAAGGCACGCGATTATATGATGCTGCCTCAGATCGGAGAGACGCTCGCGGGCTTTCTCTCCCCTGGGATCGCATTATCACATGCATATGCATTTTCAGCGGGTCAGGCTAGTACTGCGCTGTACACCATGGCTGTGTTACAGGCATACTAGCCTGATCTTATGAGAAAAAAATTAAACAGCCTGTCATTCAGACTGTTGTAACGTGGTGCGTTTGAAGTAGAGATGAGGCTTGATCCAAGTGCAGCACACGCTTTATTTAACAGATAGAAACTAAATACTCACTATACAAACTAGCTCGGAAACAGGACTCGGGACTCAGGAACAATCAACGTTGAACATTAAACAAGAACTCACCAAGACAAGACTGAAACACAGGGCTTAAATAATCAGGGACAAACGAGCTAAACAAGGGGGCGTGGGAAATCAGAAACACCTGGGATAACTAATAGACAAGACAGGGAACCATAATATGAGAAATCAGATATTCAATGCAATATATCAAATGCTTGTATTAATATATTGTCTGGTTGTTCTTTGGTAACATTTAATTCTGAGGAATTAAATATTGAAAAAGCCATATATAAAAGTATGGACTTTGAGAGTACCGCCTTTTGAGCACTTCTCTCATTATGATAAAGCGTGTGAGAGGTTACTCGAGGTGGTGACTCGTGGTGTGGCCAGATTACAGCTAAACTGCCCTCCTTGAGGATCTCCATGACGTTAACTCGTGCATGGGGAAAACCTTATTTTTCGTGCATCTTTGTGCCCTCGACGTCAATCTATTAGACTATTGTGGGTGCAGGGGCATGTGGTTCACGATGATGCGCCAGTCCGAAGAGACACTCATGGGCTATCTCTTCTCTGGGGCTCATCGTCATTTTAGAAGTCAGTACTCCCCACCAAGTCGTGTAGTAACTTCCTCGCTGGTGGAGTTCAGACTGGTGCTGCTCTGCACACAATGGGCAGTGTTGCAGGCATATCACGCATATCTGATTTATAAAAAAAGGGGGGCTCAAAGTTTGGCGAGTTGCGTTCCCCCTCGTAAAGACTGGAGACCGGCTCGTTGCGCTCAGCAGCCCTTTCAAAACCACTGTAACATCCTTGCCACCTCTGGTGTTTCGGGGGGGGGGGGCAGCGGTTTCCAGGGAAATGTTGAATGTTCTTTTGTTTCCTGTTATCGCCCAGGACAAAGAACATTTAACATTCCCCTAACAGGAAGTATTAAAGAGACTTTGGCAGCGTGAAAAGCTACTGCCGGGTCTCTCTTTTTGTGTCCTAAAGACAGTAAAAGGAATGTTGCACTCCTTGTTTTAACGGTGTGTTTCCCACTACCATGAAACAGAAATAGGCGCATCTGCTCTCACAAAAATGGGGGACTGCGTCTGTTTTAAGATCTTTGAAGGCTTGAACCGTTCCGTTAGAATGGTCAAGTTCAAGATGGTAACTATCAAGAAGATTGTGTTGTAAATTCAACCTCATGTTTGGATCTTCACGGTCGATCTTAAAGGATGCATATTTTCATATTGAAATATTGCCACAACACTGGAAGTTCCTGATGTTTGCTTTGGGGGGCGAAGCTTACCAATTCCGGGTCCTTCCATTCGACCTAGCCATGTTACATAGACGATTGGCTCATACTGGCCCAGTCTCAAGAGCTTGCGCTTCGACATTTAGATCGATTCCCGCTCATCTTCTCTATATGGGGCTGAGTTGCAACGCCAAGGAAAGCGTTCACTCTCCTCCCCAGAGGGTAACGTGCTTGGGGGTTAAATGGGACTCTGCCACCATTGGGGGCACAACTGTCCCCCGCTTGTGTCAAGACCATTTTTAAACACCCTAAAGCAACATCTGGCTAGGTCAGGACATTACGTAAGTTACGTAAGTAATCCTCCTGTGAGAGCTCTTCGGCCTCTGCCACAGCGCCAGGGCCCACACCCTCCTCCATCGGCCCGAGGTCAACCAAAAACAACTGATACCAGCTCTCAGTGATATGTGTCGGGTCTCCGCTATGACAACAGTAACTTTCTTAAATGTTTACATAACAAGCGGGAACCCAGTGTGCCTGTATCTTTCTCTATTGCTGTTCGATTACATGATAGAAGGTCTAAGGCCTTCAAAAGCTGTACAGCAAACCCATCTAATCTGGTGCCTATTACACGCCAAACTAAGACTGCTGTGGGGACAAAAAGTAAGACTGTTAAGTTAGCACTTTTAAACATCCGCTCACTTAAAAATAAATCACTTCTAGTCAATGACTTAATAACCACATACAACCTGGATTTTATGCTTCTAAATGAAACCTGGCTAGAAGACAGCTGCAGTGCAACAGTCCTCAATGAAACAGCCCCTCCTAACTTTACTTTTATGAGTGTCTGCAGAGCTGTAAGGAGAGGTGGAGGAGTAGCTGCTCTTTTTAAGGATGTCTATCAATGTAAGCAAACATCATTTGGTAACTACCCGTCTTTTGAATATCTCGGTATTGTTTTAAAAGGTGCCCCACGCATTTTACTTATCATTATTTACAGGCCTCCAAAATACTCTCCAGCCTTTGCTGAGGACTTTACAGAACTGTTATCAACAATTTCCTCAGAGTTTGACTGTTTTGCTATTGCTGGAGATTTTAACATTCACATAGATAATGATACAAATATGGCAAAAGAAATCAAAACTGTTTTAAAAACTTTTGACCTGATTCAGCATGTACACGGACCGACACACACTCGTGGACACACTCTAGATTTACTTATCAGTAAGGGTCTAAACATTTCATCGATTGTTATTAAGGATGTAGCACTGTCTGATCATTTCTGTATTTTCTTTGATATATTGATCTCTCCTGCCATTGAAGCTAGATCTGTCTGTCAAGAAGAGATGCATAAATGAGAACACTAGTGTACCATTTATGAAGGCTATATCTTCAACACCAAGCATATCTGCTGACTCTGTTGATTTTCTCCTTGATTGTTTTAACTCAAAAGTTAAAAGTGTAATTGATGATATTGCTCCTGTGAAAGTCAGGAAGAGTGGTAGACAAAAAGCACCTTGGAGAAACTCAACAGCTGTGCAAAATATGAAAAGACAATGCAGAAAAACAGAGCGCATGTGGCGGAAGACAAAACTTGTAGTCCATTATAACATCTACAAAGACACCATCCATGCTTTTAATATGGAACTAGGCAAAGCTAGACAGACTTTCTTCTCAAATATTATAAACAGCAACTTAAACAACACACGCACTCTTTTTGCTACTGTAGAGAGACTGACAAACCCCCCAAGCCAGATTCCCAATGAATTGCTTTCAGACAGCAAGTGCAGTGAGTTTGCTTCTTTCTTCTCTGAGAAAATCAATAATATCAGAAAGGTGATCAGCACATCATTGAGCCGCACTGGGGTCAGACAGATCAGACCACAACCGCAGAAAGTAGCTACTATGTCTGATTTTGAAGAAATTGATGGCAAAATTTTAGAAGAAACCGTACAGCACCTTAAAACATCAACCTGCGCCCTTGACGCACTTCCCACATCTTTCTTCAAAAGTGTGTTAAACTGTTTAGAAGCAGATCTCCTAGAAGTGGTA